TCCTAGAATCTCATTGAGAAGGTCCAGGAATCCATGTTTTTAATAAGTCAGTGAGTTGATTCTCATAATTAGGCAAGTTTGGGATAAAAGGTATTAGATATCATGAATAAGTTTATACCATGGTATAAAATAGAACAGGTCCCTGTGGTGCCTGGGGTGGTGAGATCCGGGTTAAAGATTTGATAAGAAAGAAGGCAAGACCGGAGCATTGATAGGAAAAGGTGAATTTGAGAGCCTCGGGGCTGGGGTCGGGGACATTTCAGTAGTTGAAGGGTATTTAGAGCCATAAAAAAAAAAAAGATAGATAAAGCAACAATTAAGAGAAAATCCTTAATGTCATAGTTGAAGTATAAAAAAAAAAAAAAAAAAGAGAAAATCCTACATAGATTTTTTCTATTTTGACATTTTGGCGTGGCTCTGGAGTCTCAATTATCCTAATGGGAAGAGTTTAGAATTCTGCTAAAGTAATGTCTAATTTGTGATATAATCTAACATTTTTTAAAAGTCTATAATTTTTAAATTTTGAAAAATAATTTAAAATGAAAAGTTTTAAAAAATATTGATGTGTTGTGTTGTGCCTTTACCCTGAGGATCTGTAGTTTTCTTTAAATTTTAAATGATTAACATTTATGGACTTGAGTTTAATATAGAACTCTGTGGCTCTCTTTACTACTGATCAAGGTAGTGGAAATTAAAATTTATTTGTGTGTGTATATGCACATCACATGGATTCATTATCCACTGCTGAACTTCACAATGGTTTTAGAACTTCTAGATTTTTAAAAGCATGCTGCCATAAATTATGTCCAATAATCAGAGTGCAGTGTGGCCTCTTTGTTGTATAGTTCTAAAACTTTATAGAAATGCCCACAGACATTTCCCCTCTTGGTACATTTAGAGTCCATTGAAATATCTAATTTTCAGAAACATCTAACAAGATTAATGCCAAACACATTAGTTTAAGGATACTTTGAATACTAAACTTTCTCAGAGAAATTTTAAAATTTACATTTATCTGGATTGGGATTGTTTGCAACTGAATTCCCAGAGTTTGAAAAGTAGCAAAATGGGTGGAAAAGTATGAAATGGTTAAATCAGTGATTCACTTGTTAAGATGTTTCAAATGTTCTCTTTTAGATGTGAATGACTCCATTGATTTGGCCATTTAAATCCGCTCTAAGAAAGTACTTTCACTTTAATCTGCCTTTCTCTGACTTCTCCTCCTCCTAATTTTCACCTTACCAGGCTGTCCCTCTCCCCTTTCCCTCTCTCCTCCCCTTTGGGCTCCAGGTTTACTCTCTGATCAATCAGCTAGCGGCTAAAAATGATAAACATTGGTGGCAAGAAAAATGCTGGGCAAATTTCATCAGGAATGTACCTAATAAACAGAGCTGATGGTTAAGTAAATACAGGATATTTTAATAAACGCTATGTGTTTAATATGGAGTATTTACTGAGAATTCAGGGAGAAGGAAGCACTGGATTGAATGCTTGCAGTGATAGAGGGATTCTGCCATAAAAGTTGTCCTTGTTCTGGACCATACTTCAGTTTTAGAGCTTAGACACATGGTCTTCCTTGCTGTTCTCTAGTCTTTGCCCGGCCCTGCCCCTCCTCCCACCCAAACACACTCTTCCAATTCTGCAGCTCCCCCTCCCCCAGGGAAAAAAAATGTGTCATCCAAGCTTCCAAAAGAGTTTGGATGGAAATGGGTGAATCTGTGACTCCCTGAAGTCATAGGCTCATTAGGAAAGGATCATCTCCCAGATGGCCTTCACAGGGCCCCTGAGTGCTATTTTCATAAGTTATTTAGACCTACTTCTATTTATATCAGTTATGTGGTCTGTGCGGTGTTTGGAAAACATTAGTGGAACCTGCCAGGCCCACCATTATTAGAAATGTGAAGGACTGGAAAAATTAGGCTTTTTTTAAAACCTTTTTTTGTTTGTTTCTAAAGATTCTTCATGTGACTATTTTCCAATTTGGAAGTAGAGGAAAAGGAAAAATGTAGATGATATTTTCCTACCCTTTTTAACCCAGTCTTTAGAAAACACCCTGAAAATTTCCAGGGTAAATGTCCCTCAGTGTGTTCACATTTTATGTTGAAAGACGGCAATGTCAGCTTAGGTCTGTGGTTTCAGGGCAAAAGCTGTTTTTAGAAAATACCAGATTCAGCTTTTACATTGGTTGAAATAGGCTTAGAGATTTTATTACTTCCAACAAAACAGCTGTCTACAGCTGTAGACTAATCTATATACAGTAATCTTCCCCTTATGTTCAGGGGTACATTCCAAGACCCCCAGTGGATACCTGAAACCTCAGATAGTATTGAACCCAATATATACTACGTTTTTTCCTATGTATTAATATATGTACCTATGATAAGGTTTAATTCACACAATAGGCATAGTACGTGATTAATGACGATAACTAGTAACAAAATAGAAGTACTAAACCATTTACTGTAATAAAAGCAAAATAAAGATTACTTGAACACAAGTGTTTGATACTGCAGCAATTGATCTGACCTGGAATAACTGAAACTGTGGAAAAGAAAAATGTGAATAAGGGGAGACTACTGTAGATGTGTAAAGTCCAGTTGAGAAATTGCCAGGTGTTATAAGTTGAGCCTTATTAAAAAATAAGGCCAAGAGACACTGTAGGAAAAATTCTGTTCCTCTATTCACTGGGTGACCTTATTTAAGTCACTTTTTGGAGGACACATTGGTTTTCTCTCTTGTCACTGATCTTCCATTGCTATCAATAAATATTAAATATGGCCCCCGAATTCCTTCTTGGCCAATTACCTACTTTTTAATTTCTCTGTATTCACTTATTCCCATGCTACATAAATTATTCAAATGCCTAATAAGACTGAGAAGAGTCTTGGAGATTTTCTACTGCAATACCTTTACTTTGCAGAAGAGAAAAACAGGTTCATGGATGTTCAGTTACTTGCTCAATGTCACACACTCAGTTTGTGACATAGGGTCAGGACTTGACCACCTGCAATGGACTTTTGCCTGACATGTAGAATACCTTCTCCACACCGAGGCATCGCCAGAGTCCATCCAGTTCCTCATCCTCTAGCACTCTGTTCACTCCTCTTCCCCTCCCAGGAAGGAAGGTACCAGATAGAACAAGCAGAGCAAATGGAAGAGAAGGCAGCAAGATAAGGAACAAGGCGATTGCTGTTTCTCCAGCTGTAACAAGGGCTACCTTTTCTTATCAGCTTTAGGGAAAGAACAGAGAGTTCATTTCAGTAGAAGGAGTTATTTATAGAACTCTAAAGGCTTTGCCAGTTAGGGAGGGGATTCCAGAATTGAGTTTTCCTCCTCTGTCCTCCCCTGTGAATTCCAAAAATGGATTCTGTGTGTGTGATATGATAATTCACATAGCTCCTATGTGGGTATGGAACTGATAGAAGGTGAGAAATGAAGACCACTGGAGCAGTGATAGTAAGAGAAATGTGGAGCATGCACATAGGAACACAGCTCCCTCCATGGAATTTCTACTAGAATGTGAAGCCCTTGGGAATGGGGGGGACTTGGTTTGCTGCTGTATCCCCGGGGTTTAGGACACAGCCCTGGTACATAGTGGATGAAGAAATGGCCGAGCTGTGAGGACTCACATATACTATATACTGAAACACACCCAGCACACCCAGAGTGCACACTCATCTCCTGTGACACTTATTTCTTCTCCCCTCAGTGGCTCAGGTAATAATGCTGTAAGATGACAGTGATGATTAACAGCATGCATTATTTGGTCATTGAGATACCGTCAGCTCCTCTGTGGTCATGCTTCTCTGCTTACATTTTAATTAAAAGATTAAATTCCTCTAACGTGGAATTACAATAACAGTTGATGAGGCCTTACCCTTTTACCAAGATGATCTTACATTTTACCCTCTTCTGCTCAAACCACAGAGTCACTGATTTTCTCTCTTTTGGGCCATTGCTCCAATGCTTTTATAAGAAGATTATTTTCACTTCTGTGTCTAGCAGAAAAAAGGAAAAATGACTAGAATTCTATTTCAATTTTTGTTAAGAAACTAGTTAATGCTCAGGGAAGGGATACTATGAGTATGAAAGGCAGGTAGCTCATGGAGAAATATCCAAAGTAGCCACCAGAAAACACAATTGTTTTAAAGGACATTTATCAAAGTTGGGGTAAGATGAGAAAGAAACATTTCTTTACTTTTATGACTCATATCAGAATTTGGGATATTAATTGTGTATATTTAGAGCAACACAAAAATAATTTTCTACTCAGAATTAGAAATAATTTTAAACCTTCAAGGACATAGACATAGAAATTGCCAGAAACCAAGAAAGGGAGTAAAATCATTTGATTAGTGAATAAATTAGGTCAACACTGGGTTGATACCATTGCTTCCATTTTTGACTAGCTTTCTTGAAAATGTAACATTGGTACCCATAAGTCTGGAAAAATGCAAATGTTTCAATCCCTTTTGTAGAAGAGTTTGAAAAGTCATCAGAAATGCTCCTTTGCAAGATATCCTCAGCATCGAGGCCTATGGCAATATGTTACTATATGCATAAGACATTGAGAGTACTTTTCTAAATCAGTAAAAATAGAAATATAACATGAGCCAAATATGTAATTTTAAATTTTCTAATAGCCACATTAAAAAAATAAAAATAGGTCAAATTGATTTTAATAAATTTTATTTGATTATGATATCTAAAATATTGTTACTTCAACATATTTTCAACATAAAAGTTAGTAATGAAATATTTTGCATTCTCTTTTCATACTAAGTCCTTGAAATCTGGTGTGTGTTTACACATCTTATTTTGGACTAGCTGTATTTCAAGTGCTCAATAGCACATGTGGTGAATGGCTACTCTAGTGGACAGTCAAGGACTAGATAACTAAGTTTCAGTATGGCTGATGTAAGATACATTTTATTAAGCAGGCAGGGTGGGAGAAGGTTGTTTCTGGCAGAGAAAACAGCAAGTAACAATTAAGCTAATGCTTTTTTTTTTGAGCTCACACTTGTCAAGTACTGTTCTAAATTCTTTACAAATGTGATCTAATTTGACTATCAAAACACCCTATTAAACATTTAATTCTGAGTGCAGTGGAAGCAACTGGGCACTTCTGAATATGACTTTCTTTACACTTAAAGAGCAATCGCTGTGGTTGTTGTTTAGAGATCAACTGAAAGTGGGCAAGAATGGAAATAGAGGCATGTTAGTTTGCAGTTTCACTGGTCTAGGAGAGATGATGAAGTTTGGACAGGGAACTTCCAGAAGACTATCTAGCTTTGCCTTTTTGAGTAGGGAAATCTAAAGTCAACAGAGCTACATTGCATAATGTTATAAAAGGGAGAAGGAAACATGGTGGGTAAAATTCTATGCTGGTTTACCAAGGTATATTAATAAATTGGGGGAAGAATGACTTAAGCTGTTCTTCTATCACCTTTGTCCTAGAAAAGAAGTCAAAAAAGGATACACTGTTCTTTGACATTCACCAAAGCCCATCTGAGGAAAGAAATTTAAAACAACATAAAGATACTGATATTGTACTTTAAATGACCACAATAAATCTGCTGCAGAACTAAAGCATGTATTTTGGGCTGCTGAAAGCTTACATCTCCTAGTCGTTCCTTACCTACAGCTCTTTTATTTCTGTCACCATCATTTTATGTAGATAGTTTTTGCAAAGAGATGTTATCAGTTAGGATGCTTTTGGTTAAAACTATTAGAAGATCTGGCTAGGTGCAGTTGTTCATGCCTGTAATCCTAGCACTCTGGGAAGCCAAAGCAGGACGATCACTTGAGCACAGGAGTTCAAGACCAGCCTGAGCATGAGCAAGCCCCAGCCTCTACAAAAAATAGAAAAATTAGCCAGGCATCATGGCACCTGTAGTCCTAGCTACTCAGGAGGCTGAGGCAGGAGGATCGCTTGAGCCCAGGAGTTTGAGGTTACTGTGAGCTGACACCACAGCACTCTAGCCCAGGTGACAGAGCAAGACTCAGTCTCAAAACAAACAAACAAAAAAACCCCAAACAAACAAATAAAAAGAAATAAAAAAAAATTAGACAATCTGATTTAAATGGGCTCATGAAATTTAAAAGTCCAGAGGCAGATCTGGCTTTAGAAAAGGCTTGATTCAGGAGTGTATCAGGTGACAAATGACCTGGTTTCTCGCTGGCCCCGTCTTGAGTTGGCTGCCATGAGCTCCCAAGGCCATTTGCTTCCTTGTTTGTATCTGGAGCATCTGTGTCCCAGGATTTCCAATTAAATCCCAAGATTCACCTCAACCATCTTACGTTTGTATGCCCATCTCTGAACTCATCACTTGTGGCAGGAAGATTCAGTCCTCTGGAACCAGGGCTGGGGTTGTTGGGGCTGATTTTAATAGCTGTGACCTGGTTCTTCGGTTCCTTGCTTGGAGGAATTGCCAGCAGGGCCAGTATGACAGAGTGATGGCAGACACAGAGCACTTCCACACAAGTAGCTTTTATGGCAAAGCAAAAGTATGTTGAGGAGGGAGAGGAACAGGTCTGCCCCTGTGAATAAAAAGACCCTGAGTTTAATGACAGAGTTTAGAAAGTATACTACACTCTCAAAGTCAGTAGAGAGCAGACTGTTCTAATAAGGAACAGCATCATCCCAGGGTTAGGGTCTGTCCTTTATGCTAATCCCTAACAATGTGTTAAGCTAGGGGTGGAATATTCATGTCCTTTTGGGGAAGTGGGTGAAGATTCCCAGGAATCATGTTCCCTCCCATTTTCTGTTCTTGTATGGCTGGCTCTGGAACTGTCACAGGGCTAGAGGGTGTGATTTTTAGTATGCTAGTGGGGAAAGGACCCCCGGACAGGTTCTCCATTCCTCTGCACATGCCTGGTGGAGGGAAAGTCCCTAAACCACCATTTCCCACTATTGTGGCCTGACTCTTTATCCTCATTGGTCAGTGCCACCTGCACAGTGCACCTGCATTGGTCTGTACCTGCATCCCTACCTAACAGGGTCAATTCATATGGAGGAGAATGGGTAACCAAGGAACTGATTTTCCAAAGGAAATCTGGATTTCTTTTACCAGAAGGCAGAATAGAAACTGGGCAACATGCAGCAAGTCTTCACTAATGCCCCAATCCAAACACTGCCTACTAATAATCATCATCTTACTTTGTCTCTCTGCATTATGTGATTCCATTTCCTCTTTGAAAGAATCTCATTCTTTCATTTAATTATACTGTTCACATGCATTTCTTGGTTCCTCTATGACTGCTGTGCTCATTCTTTGGAAGATTACCTCCATCTGTCTGTGTCTTAAGTATTGGCAGTACCAGGGTTCTCGTCTTACCTTTGTCCTCTTCCTGTTTCCTCCTGGAGTCGGTAGACCTAAGCCAAGATTCAACCATCACTGGTACAGAGATTATTAATCTGGGTTCTACAGACCCTTAAAGCATCCAAGACAGACCTCAGGGAACTTATGAGCCTCCCAGAAATTGTATGCATGTATTGTGCATATATGTGTATAGAGAAAAATTAGCTTTCATCAGTTTTTCAAAATGGTTCAGGAGTAAAACTTTAAAAATCACTGTTACTGATGACATTATCGTCCCCAGAGTACTGTCTCCCTTCAGACCTCTCTCTGCTCCCCTCTAACCCTGCCTTTCCTGCTCTCTCCATGGCTGTCCAGATGTCCAGCAGGCACCTGAGGTCAGACCAATGTACATTTTTTTTTTGAAGTTATGGGCTAGTCACTCACTGTTTTAGGTTATTCAGGGTTAAGAAATGGTTTCTGCTCTCTAATGTTTTATTGTTCAGTGAAGGGTATTGATTCACTTTAAACTCAATATTTTACTTTCCTAGCCTTCTTCTCCTATATTCACCATTTTATCTAAGAACCACAATTTTACCTTTCTAGTCAGACTGGAAACCAACAGGTTATCCTAGCACATGACTGTAGTGGGGGCAGAGGGAGATTGGTCCCTCTCGATTATGCTGGGGAGTGAATATTTATATTTACATTAAAATGTAATTTTATATTTGCAAACAATTTTATTGTTTTATAACACAAATTATGAAAATAATGTTTGACAAACTATTTTCTGGGTAGTAAGGATAAACCAAAGAGAAGTGGTTTTTGAATGGGCATGTTTCACAAGAGGGGTACATAAGAATTTGAGGGGGCAATGTGAGGTTTTTATGTTTATTAAAAAGGGATCATGAATTTAAAAATGGAGAAACACGTTCCTATAATACCCCCAATCCTTTAAAGAACATATGTAATCTGCCACTAAAACTTGTTCTTCCTACCGTTCAGATCTTTCTCAAGTTTATCGCCCACCGTTCCATTTCCATTACTCTTGCCAGAGTACCAGGCCTCTCTGCAGCCTCATGTCCCTGGTCTATTGTACTATTTGCAGATAGCCTCCTAACTTCTGTTGGCCTCTTATCTAATTCTTTCCCTTCCTCTCCCTCCATCCTATACAGGAAATCAGACAGATCTTTTTTAATCAGAAATATCAGAAATCTTTTTTTCTTAATGCTGGTCACTCCAGCATCAAATCGTTTAGTGGTTTCCCATTGTCTACATAAAAAATATTCATATTCTTTACCACATTGGATTGCTTTACAGACCTTTTATCATCTGATCTTTTCAGCTTCATCCTCTCTCCTTCCCCATTTATAATATATTCTTGAAGTTAGAGACGCTGTCTTCAAAGGCAGTCATGCCCTCTAACCTTATCTTGATCATTTTGCCCTCTACCCATGATAGCATTTTCTGCTTTTTCACACAAGTATAAGAAAGGTAACACCCTCATAGCATAGCCCTTACCAGCAGAGATTTGGTCGCAATATTCTCACGTATAGAGAATATTCTTGTCAATTTTTTTGTTCCAAGAGGTCCTCCCTGAGCACTTGTCTTCTAACCATACAAATGTTTCCTTACTGTTTCTGATCTGCATAATGAGCACAGGACAAAATGACAAAATTTCAAGTTTCTGCATCTTGAAATTTAAAACAGAACTATATAGCACATTATCATTTAACTAAAAATGGACATTTTTTTTCTTCTCATTAATCTTAAACTCCGAAGGAATTACTGAAGTCTCATATCCCTTGATCTGACACTTTAAGAGTTAAGAACAGCCACAAAGACTACAGCTGAGAGATAAGATGTAGATTAAAAGAACCATTAACTCACAATGGCATTAGAAGAAAGATTATCAGTGTTGAATTCAATTTGGATGTGGTTCAAAGCTCTAAGTAAAGTGGGAGGTAAAAGGCTGTAAATAGTTTTTAGTGCCCTGGAACTCGACTTTTTCCCTTAGAGCAGCAGCAGAGAAATCTCATCACTAAAATTAGGTAATTTGTTAGCCACTCTTCTCTCCATGAACCATTAAATTTCCACTGCTTTATTCAGAGGGTGTATGTCTAGTAGTTAGGAGTGCACCCCTGGAATCACATTTCTACTTTTGAGCCCCAGTACCTTGACCTTCCTTTGAGATGTCAGGCAGGTGCTTAACACCTGCCTCAGTTTCCTCATCTTTAAAATGGGAGTTGTAGCATGTGTATTAGGTAGTGTTGAAAAATTTAAATAGATGTGTGTAAAGTCCTTGAAATGACACCTTTTATATAGGCACTTTATATGTTTACAGTACTAAACTGTTTATTGTTATTTTCTAATGAATGTTATGCCTTTTTAGGGGGCCTTGCCAATTATATTGATTTCCCCAGAGTTGTGAGAAAAATAATAAGAGTAAACATCTATGAAGGCCTCCTTTGTGCCACATGCCGTTCTAAGCACTTATGTATATTTACCCCCATTGTGGAGATGAGGAAACTGAGGCACATGGAAGCTAAGCAAACTTGTCCAGGTGACACAACTTCAAGCCTGATGGTGCAGTCCATACTCTTAACCAGTACAATGAGGGAAATGCAGGAAGGGAAGTTTTGAACTGGCCTCACTATTTTCATTATGTCTGATTCTTCCTTTTAAACACATTGAATTCCAGGTGGCTGAACCTCAGTTGGGTAGAATGTCTTGGGCATAGGTGCAGGTTAGGATTGCTGACGAGTTGCATGCAACCAAGTCGAGGTAATCTATAGACCAGCCTGCTTCCTCCCCACCCCGCCCCCAAAACACCAAAACCAAAGCCCAGTGGATGGTTCAGCTACATCATCAATTGGAAGGGCTAAGGCAGGTAGGAGGATGCAAGTCTATGCAAGACATAGTGGCAGAGGTAGATGGACGAGCCTGGGGTAAGGCCCTGGGTCAGTGGAATCTTGTGCCATCATTTGTTATGTGGTGGCATTGGCAGAGAGCAGAGAAAAACCCGAGAGGGACATAGATTTGCTATGAAAAAATGTTCCAGGGACTATATGAAACAAAAGGCAGTCATAAAACTTTCTTATATTTTTGAGTCATAGTATTATATTGGCACTAAAGAAAAATTACTGTTTCCTAATATCTACAAAGATAAAATGCAGGAAAAAAGGAAAAAAAACTGATATGTGCACAAAGATTCTTATTGCAGCATTATTCAACAAAATAGTGAGAAAGAATTGGAAATTGCCAGAATGTTTGACAATAGTAGAAATAAGTAAAATAAGAAAGTGCCACCTAATTTAATATTATGCAGCCATTAAAGTGATAATTATAATGACTATGGAACAGAGATGCATACTTAAAAGTATTTTAAGTGAAAGAGGCTGAATATAAAATTGCATTTCTATTAAGGCTATAACTATGTAAAATTATGTAGGTAGACAGGATTGAAAGGGAACACAAAAATATGTACAATGTGAATTGG